TGGGGAGTTTGAGTTTGGTGTTAGCATAGCGACAGAAAAGTAATGGTGGGGGGGGGGGTGGGTCTGGGCGGGGGGCATGGAGCGGGCCAGAGCCCACTGAGCAGAGGGAGCAGTCCGGAGTTAACAGGTCACAGAGGAGGTGGGAGGGAGCAAGGCCATGTAGAGCTTTGAAAGTGAGTGGCCCAGAGGCCCAGAGGCGAGGGAGCAGGCGATGACGGGTGGACGGAGAAAAGAATGTCGCCAAAAAGCCAAAGACGAGTCACTTTCTAGGCAACCATTTGTTTTTCATTTATTGTTATCTATACACTGTACATTCAGTCACTGTGAGTGGCTTCACACTGCTATTCACCCAGACTTCAGCTAAGTCTCTTTATTTTACAGTATTACTGCCGGCAGACAGGGAAGGAGGGAGATGGGGGGGGGAGGGATGGAGGGAAAGGCGTGATGGGAGACCGGGAACAACGCACAATAGATAAATAAGCCAAGCGTTATTTTTTTTTGAGGCATTTATAAACGAGAAAAGCATACATTTATTTTATTACATAAAAATAGTTCTAGGTTCGAAAATTAAGTCGCTTATTGCTAGCAGCAGCTTAGGAAACAACCTGCCCCCCCCCCCCCCCCCCCCACTTTGCTCTCCCCTTCCACCCCCAGTAATATAAACACATGAACTGCCCAGAGTAACGCGCACACAATGTGGTACGTCAAAGTCTGTGTGTGGGGTGGTGGGGGGGGGAATAGAATATTGTGCCATTTAATGCAAACTTTTTTTTTGGGGGGGGGCCTGTAATGTGTACGTGTGTGTGTTTGTGGTGGGGAGGACCGGGGTAATTTGCTTCCTCTTTTTTTGGAAAAATCAATAACAATTTGCATGAATTTTTTTTGAAAAATGCAGCCTTCAGAGTGAGTGACCCCCTGACCGCCCCCTCCTCCTCACACACACAAAAGTATGGACATATTTTGACAAACAATAAGGAAAATGGGGGGAAGGGGACGGGGGGGGGGATAAGGAATCATGTTTAAATGAGTAATGTACACTTTATAATACAGAACGTAAAAATACAAAAGTTATTTACATGGTCTTTTTGTACATTGGCTGGTATCAAAGCAGTTGAAAGGAAGCTATACTGGGTTTTTAGATCAATAGTCAGTCCCTTTGAAGAGAAACACAGACTGTGTGTGTGTGTGTGGGGGGGGGGGGGCTCACAGCGGACCTGGTCTCAAGAGTTTCAGCCACACCTGAACCTGCCGCTCCGCCAGCACTGCTCACAGCGCAGGAAACGCGAACGAAAACCAGAACAAACAGAACGAAACGCCCCGCTCTGCGTGTGGCGCACACGCGGGGGAGCTGAACACACTGATTTAAACACGTGTTGTGTGTGCGCGCACGTCATATAATAATAATAATAATCCTCGCATTTGATATATAGCGCTTTTCACGTCGGGAGGACGTCCCAAAGTGCTTCACAGAACACACTGTAAAGTGAATTGACTGTATATTTGTGGGAACGCGGCAGCCAATTGCGCACAGCAATGTCACACAAACAGTGGTAGATTGAAAATGACCAATTTTTTTTTAGGTCTTGGAGGGATTATTACGATAACGCGCGCACACACGCACCTAACATGGGTATGGCCGGCGCCCGGACACAAAACATGGTATAAAATTAAAATAAAAGTACAAATTAAAACCACGCTGACATACAAAAAAAAACAACCTGACCCAGGAAGGACACGACGGGCGGGCGAGGGAGGGAGGAATGAACATCAATGTCATCAAAACCTTCCTGTGCTCTTTTTGTTCTTGGACAAAACTTTGCACACGTGAATTAAAAAAAAATTAAATCTTTGGAGGGGAGGGAGCGAGCGGGGGGGGGGGGGTTAGAGATAAGAATGATGGATGGTTTCTCATCAATTAGCTCCGGACTTATTGGTTTAAAAATCACCGAGTCTCACCCAGGAGTTCATTAAATTCCTGGAAATTCATCCCGTTTTCCTGTGAGATACTTTTGTCCAGAAGTTGAAGGTGGCACAGGATTGTAGAACATGGTTTGATCAATGGAGCCTCGGCTTAGAAGGCGGACTCTTTTCTTTGAGCCAGAGAAAGGGGGGGAGAGAGAGAGGGATGAGGAGGAAGAGAGGGAGGGAGGGAGAGAAAAGGAATATCGGCTACTGAATTGAAGGATGAATGGAAGAGTGTTCTCACGATCCTGTTCCACCTTGAATCTGAAGACATCCCCACACAACTTCCCTCCGCTCACCTCTGGAGACTAAGGTGGAATTTCAGGCCCCCCCCATCCCCCCACCCCAATAGGGGAGTGTTATTGCTGAAGAATACCCCATTTTGTTTTTTATTGTACTATTATTGTTTACTTTTCATTGTAACGATTTTTAAAAAAAACATCCTTTACGGACATTAAAAAAAAACGTGAAATGGTCACAGGACAGGAAAATAAAAAGATGGGTTTATTAAAATATAACATCTTCACCTCCCCCCACCCCCCAGAATGAATGCAATATAGTGTGAAAACCAATAAACCCCAACACACATAAGGCAGAAGGATTTTTTTTGCATATTATATCAACATAAACCTCCTCCCCTCCCCTCGCTCCCTCCTCTCCCCCCCTCCAACCCCCCCCCCCCCCCCCGCAGTTTTAAATATACAAGTTTAATGCCCGTTTGGAGTATATATATATATTTATATATGTACTGTAGAAATATTAAGACTCCATGCATACGAAAAACATACCAATTTTTTTTTCTCTTTTTTTTAATTAAAAAACCCCCCACAAAGATAAAAGGAATTTGCTTCTATAGTTCTCTGTCTCTCCCTCACGTAAAATTGCATAAATATTAACATAACCCGGAGCTCTCTCTGTCTGTCTGTCTGTCCCTCTGTCCGTCCGTCATCACCACACGACAGACACCTATGGGGTGACGGTGGGGAAGTTTTGAGAGCAATTTCTTTTGATCTCCCCAAGGAGTGCGGGTGTTGGAACCCGAGGGAGTGGGGTGGGGGGAGAGGAAGAGGGAAATCCTTGTGAACTTCCCCCCCCCCACACCACCCAAAGATATGTTTAGTGTTGCCTTTTACAACACAGATCAGTTATAAACGCACACAACCCTCTGGGTAACCATGAGACTGGACTAGAACACACCTCGCTTATTAATAATAATAATAATCCTTGCATTTGATATTAATAATCCCTACTTAATTGTCTCTCCTGGTTAATTCCACGCACGGAAGTGATACCCTTTTACATTTTAGCCTTATTAATATTATTATTAATAATAATAAAACGCGTGAGCTGGTGTTATCCCGAGGGGGGGGGGGGGGGGCTTTCCTGGGGCTTTAACCCTTGCCCGGATTGGATCGCAAAACACCAGTGGAACCGAGATCAAGAGAGGAACGGGGAAAATAGTCAATGTGTTTTATTCTTATTATTTGCAAATGGTCAACATCTTCCTTTACCTCTCTCCCTGACCGCCCCCCCCCCCCCCCCCCCCCCACAGTAAAAAAAAAACACCCCTTTATCCCGGAGCTTATTGCTGGCTCTGTTCTCTCCTCCCCCCCCCCCCACTCCCCCCTGTTTTTCCCACTGGACGGGCTTTCTCCAGAAAGGAGGATAAAATGGCGATTGATAATAATCATAATAATAATAAAATTAATAATGAGCCGAACGGTTGCGTATGTCTCGGGCTGTAAGGTTGCGATCGGCCATCGAGTCCTCATAGAGTCGCCAAAATAAACAGGAGCAAAAACAATGAGATTTTTCCCCCAACAAAACAAACAACAGAACAAAAATATACAGAGAACGACGTAAATACTGTGAACACAAGACCTCCCTCCCTCCCCCCACCCCAATCCCAACCCCACCAGCCCCCTCCTTGCCGGCCCCCGTCACCATATAGGGTGCACCAGTGACGGACAGTCTCTCAAACTGCGGAAAAATAAAAAAAGTTTTGCGTTTCGCGTAGAATAGGCTCCAATGGTCGGAACAGTCTCCGTATTTGTGGGAGGTCTCTCAGTTCAATCTCCTTTCTGCTCCTCTCTCCCCCCTCACCCCCCCCCCCAACAGCCCCGTCGCCACCTCTTCTTTCCCCCGTTTTCACACTCTCGGTCCGGAAAGTGAGATGGTTGTGTCATGTCTCTCACTGTCAGACAATTTGTCTGTTGGATCCCCCCCACCCCACATTTCGCCCAAAGCTCCACCGGGGAATCGAGCTTCTTGTCCTCCTCGACCGGTCAACACAAAACCCGTCTCGGTGCTCGAGAAACGTAAAAAAAAAACGCCGTTAAAAGTGCGTGACGGGCATTTCCTCCTGAGTGTATGGGGCACGGGTCTGTGGTGGGGGGTCTGTGGTGGGGGGTGGGAGAGAGACACACAAGTTCTTCCAAAGTAACTCGTGGTTAGGACGGTCCAGATGAAATTGGTGTTGTTCGTGTTGATGTCCAGCCCCTTGGGACGTCCTCCCGATGCGAAAGGCGCAATATAAATGAAACTGGTTGACATTGTTGTTGTTGCTGTGGGGAAATCTCTACACGAGGTCAGTCCAAGGCGGAAAGTGAGCGGCTGAGAAAGGTGAGGCTCTGTGTCAGTCTCTCCCCGTGTGTTGATCCGTCCCGAGCCTTTTTTTCCCTTCCATCGCTTTGAACGAACAGCTTATAAACAAAAATATCAAAATCTCCCCCCGCGGTGTCCGAGCGAATGAAAAGCACCTGTTGATCCTATCGTTCCGTCCAGTTCCGCTCCATCCAGGATCGCCGTAGAAACACACACACGATCGGGTTCGTAAGGGAGGTGGGAGGGGGAGAAGAGAAGAGGGGATGGAGTGGAACAGAAAAAAGCACTGACCCCCAAAACAAAAAGGTTTTTGTTTTCTCTAAAAAAAACCTCTGGACTAACGTCACTTAAATCTCAGCAAAATATTCCACGTGCGTTGTGCGAGCGAAGGGAGACAGACAGACAGGCAGAGAGAGAGATGGTGAGAAGGATGGGGGGGGGGGCGGAGGAGGGAGGGTGTGCAGTATTTCACTGTCTCTCGGGCACCTTGATCTGTAACATTCTTCCTCCGAAAGAGAGTCAAATCTTGTTCGGTGCCGCCTTGGGGTGCGTTCAGCACCGGTGCGTAACGGGAATGTAGGGGAGAGTGGGGCGAGCTGGCACTCCCCCCAATCCCCCTCCCCTACCCCGCTCTAGATCTCGCTGTCCTTCGAGCCCACCCCCTCGCACGGTTTCAGCCAGAGCTGCTCCTGCAGTTCCTTCACCATCTTTTCCAAGTGTTCCCGAGCTTCCCGTTCCCGGAGCAGGTCCGCTCGGAGCTGTTCTCTGTCCGCCTCGGCTCTCTGCAGCTTGATCTGTAACTCTGCGATCTGGAATAACACGAGAGAGAGAGAGAGAGAGAGAGGGGGGTTATAACTTCTCAGCCCAATTCAATTTTCCCGAATCACAACAGGTGAAGAAATTCCTTCATTGATTCTTCTGCTGAAAACCCAGCGACTGTCATCTCATCTCCCTCCCCCCCTCCCTAAAAAAAATTGTTCTTTCATCGTTCATCTTAACAGTCTTAAGACTGAATAACAAACCACACCCAACCCCCCCCCCCCCCACCCCAAACCCCATCTCTAAATCTCCTCTGTTCAAGGATTTAAAAGGTAAAAGGCGACAGAGCAACACAGGGCAATCCCCCCATCCATCGGCCCAGCAGTTAAGTCAGTCAGCGAGTCTGTCTGTCAGTCTGTCTGGAGGTCGAGGTTGGGTCACTCTCTGGGTTCCTGTCACCAAGATTCATCTGCCGCCCACACCGAGACTGTGGTTTCCTCTCCTCTCTAACTTCCCACCGCGTCACCCGACCATCAAACGCACAAACGTACTTTGAAATGCAAAACAAAACTACTGAGAGAGAGGGTGGGGTGGGGAGAGATAGAGAGAGGGGGGGATGGGGTGGGGGGGAGAGAGATAGAGAGGGGTTGGGGTGGGGGGGGGAGAGATAGAGAGAGAGGGGGGTGAGTTGGGGGGGGGGAAGAGATAGAGAGAGAAAAAAAGACAGATGGAAAGAGATCGAGAGAAACGGAGAGAAAGAGACGGAGGGACAGAGAGAACGAATGAGTCACCGACAGAAAGAGAGATCGAGACAGAAAGAGGAGAGACAGACAGAAACAGGAAGAGAGGAGAGATGTTACTGCACGAAATGTCAAAGAAATAAACCCAGAGGAGTTATCTCTCCATCAGTGGGGTTGATGGGCGTTACCTGTGCCGAGTATTTGACCCGCAGCCGGCCGGCCTCACAGCCCTTGTCGCACACTCTCGCCTGCTTGGTCTGCTCCAGCTCTCGCTTCAGCCGCACCCGAGATTCGTTCGCCTCCTTCATCTTCTTCTCGCTCTCGGCTCGGAGCCGCTCGATCTCCTTCCGCAGGTTTCTCTTGGCCTCGGTGGCCTCCCGCAGCTTCTCCTTCTTCGCCACTCGTAGGAACTCCAGCTCCTGACGAACACACAGCAAACACTTCAGTGACCAGTGACTAGCACTAACTAACCCCAGTGACCAGTGCTAACTAACCCCAGTGACCAGTGCTAACTAACCCCAGTGACCAGCCATGACTAACGCTCATCTAACAGACCCTCTCCCTCTCTTCCAACCACCAACCTATCGGAAAGTAAGATGGCCGACAGCAAACCCGGCATCTTTTGAGTGGAGATTATTTATTATTATTATTAAAGGTTATATTCCCATCCCCTCACCTGCTGGAGGCTGCGTTTGACCTGTACGGCGGCACTCAGCTTCTCCTCCTGCTTCACTCGCATCTTGATGATCTCGTGCAGGAACTTCTCCTTGGCCTCCTTGGTGTCGATGCCGTTGTCCAGGGCCTGCCGTAGATGCTCGAGCTCCCCCTCCAGCCCGTTGCCGTGCCCCTCGCCAGGTCCCAGGTGCTCCGACACACCCCCGGGCGGGGCCGGAACTCCCGGCGAGCTCAGGTCCTTGGCCGACGAGCCGGACGACGTGAAGGACGGAGAAGAAAGCGAGGAGAGCGAGGAAGCGACTGGGGGAGAGGCAGAGAGGAAAATAATCACCGCCACATCCCACATCAACAACCACAACAACAGTGAGAACCACGGCACTAAAAATAATAATCCTCCCGTCTTATGACTCAGGTGAAATGTCTCTTGAGTGAATCACCGGCAAGTGTAGTGACTCTGTATTGTGCAGGCAAATGTGGTGGCCATTTGTGCACAGAACGAGGTCTCGCAAAGAGCCGGGAGGGGAACGAGCGACGTGTGTATCGGTTGGGGGTGGATGGGGGAAGAGCCGCTGACCAGGAGCAAAAAACGTTCCCCCCCCCCCCCCCCCCCCCCTCGATGAGCAGCTTGACTTACATCCTTCCCGGCATTCAACTTCGACCTCAGCCTCGGACTCCTTGTCCTCGGGGGGGCAGGCGGCTGGGGTAGGGGTCGGGGCCGGCTCGGGGTCGGGCTGACATTCGGCGGCCGCCCTCCTCTTCCAGGACCTGTAGCTGGCGTGTGCGGGGGTCTCACCGTTGTAGGCGGCCGGCGAGTCCTGTTCGCTCTTCTGCGGGGGGATGGGGGCCAGGGCAACGTTGGGGGCCACGGAGCTCTCGTAGGCTTTGTACACGTAGAAACTGCCGGAAGGGAAGGGAAGCGCAGAGCACAGCAGACATTACACACCCTCGTTAGTCAACCTCACGCGAGTCGGGTTAGTTGGGAACGTACATTTCTGCAACGTACCGAGTTACGTCAAACTTGCACAGAATCGAACGGGAACGTGGGGTGGTCAGATACAATTTTTGGACAGATCAGACAGATCGGCCGAGTTTTACTGTCGTAACAGTAACCGTTCTTACATTTGACGCAGCGCCTTATCACGTCGGGAGGACGTCTCAAACTTCCTGCTTCACAGATTCATGCCAGGCTCCACAGAGCGTAGTGACTGTGTATTTTGCACGGGGGCTGAAAGGATTGCCCTGGCACAGACACCCACGAGGGGCCGAATGGCCTTTCTCCCACCCGGCAAGTTTCTTTTCCCCGACATTACTATGAAGCGCGATGGGAACGCGGCAGTTGGGTTTGCGCCCAGCGACGTTCCCGCAAACAGCCTTGCGGTGATCGACCAAGTTTATCTGTGGTGGGGCGGTGGGGAGGGTGTTGGTATAAAAGAACTTCCCAGTCGCCAAGAGATGAGCGCAGAGCCTTACCTGTCGCGAGGCAGAGCTAGTAGGTGACCAGTGTCCTTTTCACTCACTGACACAGCCGGAGACCAGGGCCGGAAGGCGGACGGCCTCTGCTGAGGGTGCACACAGATACCCCCCAGGACATTCTGCACAAGAGATAAACCACAAAACACCTCATCAACAACAAGTCGCCAGAAACTCACCTCCCAACACCACAGGCGCAGGGGGCTGTCTGTGTCTATGGGCCACACGTAAAATTGGGAACCCAATCATCATACAGAGGACATCGAGAACACCAAATGTAACACACCCGCCCCCAACTCCCCCAATCCTGGACCCCCTGCACCTCAATAATTCAATTGAAAAGGGGGCCTTTCCCCCCGATCTTTGGGGAATCTTCAATATACACCTAAACAGGGCATAGACGCAGGAAGCTGGGTTTCATGTCTTACCCAAAGGGTAGCACAATGCAATGCTCTCTACCCCAACCAACGCCCGCCCCACCCTCGTAGCCTAGACTGTGAGCTCATCAGCTTGCGGGGAATTGAACCCATGATCCCGTAACCTCAAGGTCGGAGCGGGACGAGTCGGGACGTACCTTGGCGTTGGATGCAGAGGAGAACGATCGCCACCATTCTGCCTGTCGCTCTTTCTCAGCTGAGATGTTGATGTCAGACACTGCCTCATCCTGTTTCAACTTCTTAAACACAGTTTGGTCAAAAGGCACCTGTGTGTGTAGGGGGGGGAGAGGAGAGGGAAAGACAAAAGAAAAAGAAAGATGTTAAAGATTACTGCAAATAATAATCCTCGCACTTATAATAAAGAAGAATAATCCCAGTGTGTCCGGGCCGCAGACTGTAATGTAGGTCAAGTGTGAACAGATACCATGGGAGGACAAGACGTCTTAATTATTCCAGCTGTAACCTTTCACCTCCCTCCCACTATCGGGCTCCTGTGTCAATGCCTCCCCCTCCCCTCCCGTTACTGTGAAAGGGTCTGGGACGCTACCCTAATTAAATGCAAGTTGTTGTTGTTGAGTGTGGGCGGGCGGGCAGGTCCCAGACACTCTCTCGCCGCACGTGTCCCGGGCAACGTGCGAGAGTCAGACGGCTTTAATTCACGTCTCTAATTGTAGCTGTAAACCACGCCCCCGCACCCCCCCAAACCACCCCCCACACCACCCAGAACGCTTCCTGTGACTGACTTGATTGCCCAACTGAATGTGAGCCGCACGCAGTCTGATATTTTAATCCCAGCCGGCCTTAATCCGTCTCCATTTATCCCTAACTCGCCCAAGTGGAAGGATTGCCAGACAGGATGAATTAAAGCGTCTACTTCTCCCTCTCTGTCCCCCCACATCCCTAACGAGAAACCCCTCACGCCCACCCCTTGATGTTATCCCCCCCACACAGCGGCTTTATAGCACATTCACATTTCACTGGGCAGTTAAAGGAACCATGCGATCTCGCCCCAGAGCTTGGCCCAGAAAGGCAGCGGGAGATACAGTGCTCTTTAAATCAAACCTAAACCAGAAGAGTGGGTAACAAGGGTTTCTTACAAGTTTGTTATTTTCTCTCGGGGGGGGGGGAGAGAGGGGAGAGCGAGAGAGGAGTGGGTGACACACACGGAGCCAGAGCTGGTGCGTGAGTGGAGCTATATAAACCATAGCTGTCGTCATTGGATTTACAAAGCATCCCTAACGCAGGGCAGTGCCTTGTTGTCTCCTGGCCATGGTCTGGCCTGACATGTCCCCAATCCCCTCTCTATTCTGGGGAAGAAGGCGAGGAAAGGGCCGGGAACAAGCTCCAATGAGAGCCGGTGACCACGAGGCCGCGCGCGAGACAAGAGTACGCTCCTCTCCCTCCTTTATCTTTCTTGAAATCCAGCCAGCTTTCCAGCTGACGCCAACGACTGATAAGTGTCTCTCTCTGGTGAGACGAGGAGCAAGTTCATCGCAAGTATGATCGTAGGCGATTTGCTCGCACTCTACTTTCTGCTCCTCGCTCTTTCATCTCTCCTCTCCACCCATCCCTGTAAACTCCCCCCTCCCCCTCCGCGGGCCGAATTGTGACAAATGCAGATTAGTTTCCAAAATCATTTTGCTCCACCTCACGCTGCAAGATGTTAGGCCTGGGAGCACGTGAAATTTCGGGTCAAAGGAAAGCTGCCTCACTCCGTTCCATCGTTGAGGAATTTTTGGGTGACTTCAAGATCAGAGATTCTCCATTCTCCCACGACTCTCCCGTGAGGGGTGGAGAAAGAGGGAGAGGGGGATTGTCGTTTGACCGTGAGCTCACAGTCGTCGTCCCCCCCCCCCACAAAACGTGTGTGTGTATAAGTGTGTGTGTGTGTATGGGGGGGGGGGGAGAGAGCAAAGCCACCTCCCGGTGACCCAGGAAGCAGAGTGAGTGCGAGAGACTGACTGCACACACAGCACAGACTTCTGTTTGGGATGAAAATACCTCGAGATGATTAACCAACTTCCTGCGCAGTATTTTACAACCCTCCCCGTGACCGCCCCGCAAAACCCTCTTAACTTAAAACAGGCCGTGTTTCTCGGTGCTTTCCTCATTTGAAAAAAAACCGGGTGACAATAATTTTGAAATAATCCGCTCTTCATCCCCCCCCCCCACCCCAATATACACACACCCGCCCACATTAATCCCCCCCCACACACACTGCTCAGCCTCTTTGCAACAACAGCAACAACTTGCAGTTATATAGCGCTCTTCACGTGGGGTAGTGTCTTTACCCCCTCTCTCTCCCCCTTCGAGCTCAGATACACTTCATGCCCGGAATGTTTAAAAAATATACGCCCACACAGCACCGGGACACTTCAGCCAGGAAATGCGGGTGGGGGGGGGGGGTGCGGGGGTGAGGCAGGTCATGTCTGCCACTGCAGGGCCTGCGGTTAAGACTGGGAAGGGCGGAAACTTCCTCTCAAGTGTTGTGAAGCGTCGCTACCGAGAGAGATAGAGAGACAGAGAGAGCATGTGAGAGAGAGAGAGAGAGAGAGAGAGAGATAAGGAAAAGAGAGAAAGAGCGTGTGAGAAAATAGAACATGAGAATGAGAGAGAAAAAAAGAGTGTGTGAGACAGAGAAGAGAGAATCCAAGAGGGAACACGAGAGACAGAGAATGAATGAGAGAGCTAAAGAGATTGAAAATGGGTGTCAAGAGAGAGAGAGAGAGAGAGAGGAGCGAGAGGACATCTGTTGACGACGGCTCCAATCAAAAGAGAAAGTCACAAGTCGTGGTTGTTTTTTTTCCTCTCTGTTTGTTGCTCTGAAACGTCAAAGGACCCAGACACTCAGACAGCCCGAGTCTGTGCGGCTGTGAGTCAGACAGCAAAACACGCAATAAGCACAGAGAGGATGTCTGGCTTCCTGACCCACAGCCGGAGACTCCCTCCAGCCCCCACCCCCCCCCCCCACGACCTCACCCTCCCACCCCGGCTCACAACCCAGCGAGGAGGAGAGCACTGCATTGTCGGGAGGCATCGTCCTTCAGATAAGAACGTTCACACACACACACACACACACAACCCTCACGAGGTTTATACCGATCTGAGCTGCTCGTTCAGGCCGACATTAATCACCCCACGCAGTGTCGGCAAAGAGACAGCAGTTTCTCTCCCGGTGTATTGGCGGCCCCCACCTCGCCCCCCCCCCCCTCCTCCCGACAGCACGGTGGCAAAACAGGTTGAAATCCCCGGTTCCGTGCTGAGTTTGCTGGTCTCGGCCGAGGCTGTCTTTTTTGTGGGGACGGGGTGAAAGCATCAACGCTACTGGGTTGCGTGTGTGTACGTGTGTGGCAGCCGCGTGGGGAGAGGTCAGGCACTGACTGGTGACACTCACTGGCAAAGCTGGTACGTTAGCGTTGGACAAGCCCGTGGGTAGGGGTGGGTGGGGGGGGTGGGGATGGGAGGAAGAATTTGGACCAATTTATAAAGAGTGAGAAAAAACACAAACCAGGTTTGCGATCACAAGAACATGTCCCAAATCGAAGGCACAGCCAAATGGCACTTTTACACGTTGATTTCACCTTCGTCCTCTAACCTACTCTGCCTGGAGGGGCGCCATATAAAGGCAACTTGTTGTTGCTGTAACCTCTATTTTATCCGCAAGGGTTAAAATCTCACTCCGCCCACGCCCGAGACCACAAAGGATCCAGTCGAGGCTCCAGATTTTTTTTATATAGAATTTTAAACAGATGACTAATAGCCATGGAGCAGGCGAGTCTGTAACTGCACTTCCCGAAGCAGCAAAGTCTCGCTGCAAATTATAATCCCTCCTCTGTCCGTCTCTCTTCTCTCTCTGTCTCTCACTTGTCACTTGCTCTCTGTCCATCTCTGTCTCTCAGTCTGTCACGCTCTCTCTCTCTCGCTCTCCATTTCTCTCTCTCTCTCTCAATCCTCAGTCCCAGTGCCAGCTCTTCGGCGACAGAAGGGAAGTTGCCTTTAATTCTCTGAGTGCAGTGCTTGTCTCACCTTGAGGAGTGAGGGAGTGAGCCAATGCAATTTTGCCCTGAAACCTGGGGGGGGTTTGAGGGGAAGGAGGGGGAGGAGGTGAAGAAGAGGGAGAGACGGTTTGGGACATTGTGAGCGACAGACCCCCCTCCTCCTCCCCCACCCCCCCGAGGTTTGAGGAGCTCAAGCATTAGCAGAGAGAGAGAGCGAGCGAGAGAGAAGCCTGGCTCTCTGCCAGCATTCTCGTCTTGGTTAGGAAAGGAAGAGCCAGGCATTGCCGATCAGTAATCTAATGCTGTAACCCCTGCAGCATTGGCAGACAGCCAGGGGCTCAGACTAGTCTAAACCAGGCCTGGGGACTCAGCGCAGAAAGCTCTGCTTCCTATTGCAGTTTGGTTTGGCAGCTCTCGTGTGGGAACACTACAAAGCACAAGCTGATAAGGAGGAGGAAATCTAGCCAAGCTGCTCGGAGTCTCAATAATCCCTCAGCCCCAGCTGATGGGAGTTGATGTTGTGTGTTCCTCTCTGTGTTCCTCTCCACCGTGGGAGGCGGTGTGTGCGAGACCCAGAGCCAAGTACTGGGGGGAGCCCAGCACACTCCCCATGGAGAGAGAGCCAGAGCTCTCATTAACAACACGTGTCTAATAATAATAATTCTTGCATTTGTTATATAGCGCCTCATCACGTTGTCGAGACATCTCAAAGCGCTTCACAGGATACACTAGTACCAAGAGGATTGACTGTGACACTAAAGTGGATTGACTGTGCATTGTGTGGGCGAAACGCGGCAGCCAATTGCGCACAGCAACGGCCCACAAACAGCCACGATAATAATAATAATCTTTGCATTTTGCTACAGCGCCTGATCGCATCAGGAGGATGTCTCAAAGCGTCTCAGGGGATTCCACGGTAAAGTGCAGTAACTATGTATTCATGGGCGAACAAACTGCGTCCCCACAAAACAGCCACGAACGACTGATTTTATCCAGTGAGACGGTCGGCCAGGACACCAACTGGGGGGAGAGATTCTCTCCGTTCTCTTTTAAACATCCACCTCAACAGGGCAGAAATCTGGGAGCTCAGTTAAACATCTCTACATGTTACCTCCGACAATGCGGAGCTCCCCTCCGCCGCCCCCCCCCCACCTCCATCTCTGCACTGGAGCGTCAGCCTCCAGACTCTGACAGTCTCAAAGTCTACGCTGCTGACAGTTCCTTAGTTCTAACCCCCTCCCTCTCTCCGCCCGGCCAGATTTCAATTT